CGCCCGCCGGAGCCTTCCGCGACGGAAGAGGAACAGGCCGCTTCCGGTCCGTCCCACAAGCCCCTCCGGGCACCCGAGCCCCGGAACTGAAGTTCCGAGCCCGGACTCGCGGAGTCGGCGGAGAGGAGAGGGGACTCCTCTGTCCAGGAGGTGTAGAAAAGGGATGTTCCAGGAACCTGACGGGTTGGGACAGGACGGGACGGGACACGGGACGGGATGGGATGGAGGAGTGGGGGAGGGAGAGGGAACTTCCAAGTAGTGCCCACTGTGAGGGCCAGCGGGTGTGCTAGGCAGCACGTGGTGTTCTTACATTGATGAACCTTCACCACGGTCCTAAGAGGAAAATTGTTATTTTTACTTTATAAACGGGGGGGTACACATTAAGAATGTAAGTGCCTGCACAAGATCGCAGGAGCCCTGGTGATGTAGTTGTTACACGTTGGGCTGCTAACGTCCAGGTCGTAGTGGCCGCTCTGCGGGTGACAGTCGAGGTTTTCAACTCCGGTGAAGATTGAGAGCCTCGGACACCTGCCGGGGCCGTTCTACCCTGCTCGGTAGGATGCTTGAGTTGGAATGGACCCGATGACAGTGAGTTTGTTCTCTTGAGTACAAGATCACATCTCTGGGAGATGGGGCAGGGCCCAAATTGAAACCACCCTGAATAAGGGGAGCACACCTTCACAAGAGAGTGTTTGTGAGGTTTACAGACTGACTTTTTAAAAATAGTTTTATTAGGGGCTCATACAAGTCTACATACATCAATTGTGTAAAGCATATTTGTACATTCATTGCCTTCATCATTCTCAAAACATTTGCTCTAAACCTAAGCCCCTGGCATCAGCTTCTCATTTTCCCCCTCCCTCCCCGCTCGCCCTCCTTTATGAACCCTTGATAATTGATTTTTTAGGGAACACGTATCTTCACTTTTCTTTCCCAGCTTCCAAGATGACCATTGATGATCCTTGCCTCCTGCTACTTATGCCTTTGTTTAGTTCCCTCTCTCACTCAAATAGGCCTGGCCAACGTGATGATAGGTGCCTTCCAAACTCACTGCCATCGAGTCGTTCCCGGCTCATGGTGACCCCATAGGACAGTGTAGAATTGCCCCAATGAGTTTCTGAGACAGTGACTCTTTATGGGAGCAGAGAGCTTCATCTTTCTCCAGAGTAAGGGCTGTTGGTTTCTAAAGGAAAACCTGTGGTTAGCGGCCCAGTGCAGAGCCCACTATGCCAACACTGCTCCCATGTGAAGAGGAGGTTGTAAAATGTTATGCCATGGTCATTTCTACCTTGTTTGGGAGTGCTCCCCATGGGGAAGGGTAGCTGCCATGTCCCGCAGACCCTGGAATAGTCCTGTAGAGATGGCTGTAAGGAGAAGAACCATGCCAGCCATAAGAGTGAGACACTTTGGAAGTGGGTGCTCTGACCTCAGAAGACTACACCTTATGGAAAACTCTGAGCCAGAATCCTGCAGCCAAGGAGCCTACAGGTTTCTGATCCAAAGAAACCGCCAGAACACATGGTTGACTTCGTTTTAAGGTGCCTTGCGATGGAGTAATAGGAGGCCTGGTGACGCATTGAGTTTCAAGTTGGGCTGCTGCCTGCTACGTCAGCTGTTAGATACTACCAGCTGCTCCTCGGGAGAAAGATGGGGCTTTCTACCCCCTTTGGGCTAGAACAGCCATTCTCATCCTGTGGGTCACGAACCCTTGGGGGTCAAATGAGCCTTTCACAGGTGTCACCTAAGACCATTGGAAAACACATATTTCCGATGGTCTTAGGAACCTAGATACTGCGCCTCTTAGGTCTCCAGGGGGGTCCGCCCACATGCAGATACACCCACATACGAGTACCTGGCATGAAGATTGTTACCCAGCCAACACCTTGCCTCAAGACAAAATTTCATTTGTCATTAGAAATAAATATTTCACAATATATAATTACATATTGTTTTTTGTGATTAATCGCTATGCTTTAATTATATTAAATTTGTAACAATGACATATCAGATATTTACATGACAATTCATAACAGTAGCAAAATTACAGTTATGAAATATCAACAAAAATAATTTTATGGTTGGGGGTCACCACAACATGAGGAACTGTATTAAAGGGTCACAACATTAGAAAGGTTGAGAACCACTGGGCTGGAATCTACAAGATCAGCCATTCAAAACCAGCTGCTCCACAGGATTTAGACAAGGCCTTCTACTCCCATAAAGAGTTACGATCTCAGAAACCCACAGGCACAGTTCTACCCTGCCCTATAGGGTTGCTACAAATCAGCATCAAATGCATGGCAGTGAGAAAGAGTTACCGTTCATGGTAAATTCCAGGGACTGCTAAAAAGCCAATCAAATCTGTTTTGGAAGAAATACAACCAGAGTGCTCCTTGGAGGCAAGGGTAGTGAGACTTCCTCTCACATTCTTTGGATATGTTGTTAAAAGAGACCAGTCTCTGAAGAAGGCCATCATGCTTGGTAAAGTAGAGGGGCAGTGAAAGGAAAATCCTCACTGAGATGGATTGACACAGTGGCTTTAGCCATGGGTTCAACATAGGAACAACTGGGAGGACGGCATTGGACTGGGCAGTGTTTCATTCTTGGGAGTCCGGGGTCACTATGCGTTGGAACCGACTTGATGGCACCTAACAACAAGGTTCAACCTCAGAACCCTGTCCCCCACCCCACCCCCGGGGACAGTACTACTTTGTCTTGCAGAGTCTCTCCAAGTCAGAATGGACTCAGTGGTAGTGACTTTGGTTTGGGTTTGGTGGTAGAGCAATAGATAGCTACTATGCCCAGCCTTATCTTCATGTATATAGTTGGGGGATTGATTCTATTATTTGGAAAATCTATTTTCTTATTTGTCAAATGGCTGTCTGTAGATATCCTGAAATGGCACCTTAAATGTTTAGCTATTAAAAACTCTTTTTATGATCTGGCTAGCATAGCATAAAAGTTTCAGGCAATGGTCAGGAAAAAAAATCTCTGCTACTATGAACACATTAGTAGATGCCAATGATTTGCTAACTGGGCTGTCCTTCATACTGCCCACTGCATTTGCAGTTACCAGGGACTCTTTCCAATAATATTTAGGGCCTTGCAGGGGGGTGGACGGGATGACATGTCTTTGTCCCAGCCATGCTGCCTGGATCCCCAGTTAAGAATGGCTCTTCACTGACAACTATATCTTGAGGTCTACTGCATGTAAGAAGCCAAGAATAAGAAGACTTACCACTACTGGCAATACCTAGCATTTCTTGTGCACATAGTAGGTGCTCAGTATTGTGAAAGCCCACCAGCCAAACACCATCAGGAGAAAATCTGCATTAACATTAGCTTTATTTAGCCCAAGACAGCAAGAGAGAACACATTCCAGACTATGTTCTCATAAGTGTGAGTTGGGAGGGGCTTCCTAAAGAATCTGTGCCTGCTCTGACAGTTGTAAGGGAGCATCAGGGGTGCTGGGACTTCTTTTGGGATGGTATGCCATCAAGAAACAAGGGCACTTCAGCGGTTGGGTGTCTCAGGTATATTTTTCAGGAAGCAGGACGAATTTTAAGTGGGACTGGGGGGGGGTGTAATTTGGGCAATAAAGTAGCAATTATGCAGAGAGAAGAACTATTAATCCTTTGCAGTTGTGTGTGGTCCCGGGTATGGAGGAAAAATGCTGGATGTCCTATTATAAACCCCATAGGATGATTAATAACAGGGTTCGTTTTCATTCTTTCAGTGTGTGTTAGTCTGGGTGGACTAGAGAAACAAATGTGTATAAGAAAGAGATTTATATATAAGAGCAATTGAACATTGAGAAAACATCCCAACCCAGTCCAGATCAAGTCCAGAAGTCCGATATTAGCCCATATGTCCAATACCAATCTATAAAGTCCTCTTCAGACTCACGAAACACATGCAATGACACCGAATGTAGAAGATCACAGGCCAGTGGGTAGAAAGTCTTTGGATCCAGGGTCACTGGAAACATCTCAGCGCTGGCATGGGTCTCTGCATCAGGGTGGGCCCATGAGTCTTGTCAGCTGCTATGTCTCCCAGGGCGTGAGCAGAGTCTCCCACCTCCAAGGAGGAAGTACCGGATTTCCCAGAAATCTCAGGAGAAAGCCATGCCCACACAGAGGCCTCACTGGCTATGATCTGATTGACAAGCTTGACTCCACCCCTACACTCTTAATCCTCAAATTGAGAAACGATTATATATCTACCACACAGTATATGTTCTCATTCAATCTTGATCACAAACTCATGTGATTCTCTTCGTTTTACCATGGAGGACACAGGTACAGAGAGATTAAACCCACTGGCACCAAGCTGATGCTGACCGTGTTCGGCTGGGTGGTCTAGAGAAAGAGAAGCAGTGACACTCACCTATGTCTAAGGAAGTGCTTAAAAACAACAGTAACGTGGACGGAGGGAGACAGTAGGCAGTGTCAGATATGAAAATATAATAATTTATAATTTATCAGGGGTCCATGATGGTGGGAGAGAAAAAAGGAGCTGATACCAAGGTCTCAAGCAGAAAGACAATATTTGAAAATGATGAAGGCAACATATGTTCAAATGTGCTTGATACAATTCATGTATGTGTTGTTATAAGAGCTGTAAGAGCTCCCAATAAAATAATTTAGTTATTTAAAAGAAGAATAAGAAAGAAAGCACTTTATATCAAGAAGTCGTCCCAGCCAGTCCAACTGTAGTCCATTACGGCTCTCTCAGACTCACGTAGCTGCAGGCCAATGACCGGAAGGTGAAGCAGGATGCAGGAAGATCACAGGCCGGTGGGTCCAGAGTTGCATGGATCCCAAGTTGATGGAAACATGCCAGGGTGCCAACAGCTCTCA